ATTTTCTTATGAGCAGTTTTTCATTTAATCAGCTTTTCCTGTCTTTCTACATTAAGATAGCTAAAAAATTGTTTGCTGTGATGGATTGTCTGCATTCAGTATCCTTGTACATAAATCTTTGGTGAAATCTTCGATCATCTTGTACTAGAATGTATTTCTAGACATAAAATTATAAAGTCAAAAATATGACCCAATTCTGTCCTGGCCGGTGTGGCTCAATTGGTTGGAGTGTTATCAGTACACCAAGAGGTTGTGGGTTCCATCCCCGGTTGGAACGGAACCGATCAGTGTTTTTATGTCTATATTTCTCTCTTTCCCTTCCTCTTTCTAAAATAAAAATACATATATATAACCCAATTCTAAAGCCCTTGATACAGATTACCAAAATGATTGTCCATTTTTTTGATCCATTGACAATCAGTAGTGCACATTTTTATGTTTTATTTTAAATAATTTCATAGGGAAAATATAGTACAGCATCTTTATTTGAATTTTGTTTTTTATTTCAAGCAAAAACATATTTTTACTTCCTTTTCAGCCCATTTCTCTCTCTCTTGTGAATTATCAGTTCCTAGTCTTTGCCCATTTTTCTGTTGGGGTGTTTGCCTTTTTCTTATTGATTCATTGGAATGCTTTCTTTATTGAGACATCCCATTGTTTTATATATGGTAAAAATATTTTTCTCGGTTTATCATTGGACTTTAATTTTTTAACATTTCCCTCCCTCTCTGCGTGTACACTTTTATTTTTAATATATTTTATGGTTTTAAAACGTATGGTTACATAAAATATCTTCAACCATGTGAAGATATTAAAAAGTAAATAGGTGAAGTGTATAGAATTTATAGAAAATGAAACACCTTAGTTAGGATCTGTCCCACTATATTGACCTCTCTTTTATGTTAGCATTCTTTCAACAAATATTTATTGAGCATTGTTGAATGCTGGGATGTTGTGGTGATTAAGATACAGTTCCTGCCTTCTAGGAGACCAACAAGTAAACAGGCAGTGTGAAAATTTCTCCACTAGACAACTGTATGATTGCTCTTGAAAAGAGTACAGAACTCACAAAGGAGGCCTCTGGAGAGAGGGACATCCTAAGCTACAATCTGAAGGATGAGTAGAAGTAGACAAGCAAAGAAGGGAATGAAGTTTATTCTAAACAGAGAACAGCAGAGCAAAGTCTAAGAGACAAGATGGCCTGGCTTGTTGGAAATAATACAAGAATTTCAGTATAGCAAAATTCACCTGCAGTTGAAGTACTTAATATCTGAAACTAAATGTTGTCATTTTCCAAGGAGAAAGAAAATGCCTGTGATACTAGCATTGGTCGAGAGTGGAAGAAAACTACTTTCAGCTAATGACAGAAAGTCAACCTACTAGATAGGATTGCCTTTGCACCTTTAATGACATTTTTCAAGAGATCAAAACAAAGAAAGTATTTATGGTACTTTGCAAAATCTAGCCTTAGGGTCTAAAAAGTCTGGTGGAATTCTCAAATCTTTTATTTTGATGTTAATGTTTTTGCTGTGTCCTAGTTATTGAAACCTGAGGACTCCCACCAACACCCTCATCTGACAGCTCCTTGGCCTGCTGAGGAAACTGCACAAATAAGAACCTCTCTACCTAGTAGCCTCACCTCACTGACATGATAGGAGTCCTTAAAACCAAGCCCTTCCCCAGTTGACCAAAAGGAGAACTTAGATTGAAATTATGGTTCAGACAGTATACACATGGTGAGCTGTTACCTTGTGTGTGATTAGAATGTGCCTGAGATGGGTGGGGAAGACTGAGGTAAGGTAGCCAGTGATGATTGCTGCTGTTGGCATTCCAGGTATGCTTGTCATGTAAAAGCACTGTGCCAGTCAGCTAAGACAGATTCCTAAAGTATCACTTTTCTACTGCTCCATTTTACAATTAAAAATAATTTTGTACCACATAAAGCTATTCTATGAAATATTTATTTGCTAGCTTAAGGCTTTGCTCAAGGTTGAAGGCACTGAAAATGCTCTTTAAACAACATATGAAGTTTTCTCTTAGGATTTTCTGTTGATGCAGTTTCTCCAGTTCCACCAAAGTGTAAACTTTTACTTGTCTGCCCTCTAGTGGATATCTGTGATTACCAGTGTTTACTGGCTTTAGGAATAGTAACTACTTTTTCTTGATTGGCTTTCCAAGTTTAAGCCACTGTTTCCTTAAAGAATGTGTTATTGCTACCAAAGCAACAATTTATAGTTTTATTCCATTTTCTAAGATGCCAATAAATACCTTCCCTGGCTTCCTCATGGGATCAGGTGTAGACAGCCTGTCTTCAGCAACTTATCTTTGCAGTGCACAGCCACCCTAATGTATCAACCATATTCCTGTTCTTTCCTCTTGCTTATATCTCAAATGCCTGTCAGCCTCTGTGCCTCTTCAGATCTTTTTCTTCCTTTCAAGATCAGACTCAAAGCTGACTTGTTCCTGTAATCACTGTAAAAGTTCCCCCTGAAGTGAGTGGGATCTCAACATCACAGTGTTCTGTGAACACTAAAGGTTCCCCAGCCCAGAGCACCAGAGCCACATAACATTGAGAGAACTCAGGGTATCAGATACCGAGTTGTGTGGCTCTGTGTCAGATACTGAGTACCCCTTCCTCCTCATGTACTTGACTGACAGCTCTCCACCCATGGGAGAGCCACGTCTCTACCCTCCCAATTCCCAGTGGCCCTGACCTGCTGAGCTCATGCCCTGCAGAGGAGTCAGCTGACTGTGGCTAGCTGGGGCCCACAGTGCCACTCTTTTAGTAGGCTCTCAAGGAGGGAGAGACTGAATTGTTGGCTCTTGGGCAGGGACCATTTTTCCTTCGCACGCCCAACCAGCGACATCCATTCACATGTGATGTTGAGATCCCACTCACTTCAGGGGAAACCTTTCCGGCAGAGATATTCCCCTGGATTCTCAACAGCTACACGTGGGTATAGGGCTAGCCCTTTTCACATCTCCCACCCTTCCTATCAGTCAAGAGCAGCTTGGCCCTTCCCTCACAACACCCAGAAGAGGTAGCCACAAACTGTGGATTACTTTGTAGCTCCAAACAGGTAGCCCAGGGCTGGTCACAAGAGGTGCTTTACATTGATCTGCATTTTAATCCCTCCCAAGAGGCCCCAAAATCAACACACCCAGTGGCAGGATTCAGACCACATCAGAGCATGACCCAATTAGATCAAAAGTGGCACACCCAAAGGGAGATTTCTGCAGGCACCAGACCCTGCTGGAGCAAATTCCTCCGCATGGGTTTGGTCTTCATGGTTTGCCAGACCAAGACAACCTTACCCACAGATGTGCCAACAGCAATCAAGATTCAACTACAACAGGAAGGTTCACATAACCCACACAAGGGACATTCCTAGAGCACCTAACTCAGATGATCAGGGAGACTGTGCCATTGAGCCCCACAAGACATCCATATAAGGCCACGATACCAAGACTGGGAGGAATAATAGATCTACCTAATACACAGAAACAATTATAGAGAGGCAGCCAAAGTGGAGAGACAGAGAAACATGCCCCAAATTAAGAAACAGTAGAAATTTGTAGAAAAAGACCTAATTGAAATGAAGGCAAGCAATTTCCCAAATACAGAGTTCAAAACAATGTTTAAAAGGATGTTCAAAGAACCTGCAAAGTTTCTGTTAAGAAATCAGCTGATAGTCATACGGGTGCTCCTTGTAGGTAACTAACTGCTTTTCTCTTGCTGCTTTTAAGATTCTTTTTGTCTTTAACCCTTGGCATTTTCCCCCTTCATATCTCAGCAGCACCAGCCTTATATTGTAGCTGAATCCTCTGTGCCTGCCTTTTCTCCCCAGCACACTGGCTGGTCAGTAACCTACTTTAATACTATTTAGACAAAAGAGGCGTCTTGCCAATAGTTACATCAATCATTTTGGCTACAGAAAGGTACATGTGCACATTGTACCGTGAGATTGCTATCCTTACATCTGTGTATGGCATCTTAGCCTTGAACATTCTGACTAAGATTTCCATGTTCAGAGTGGCCTTGGCCATCCAGTGTACTAACAACAAGGCCTTCATTCTCTAATTGGCCTTGAGTATTCAGCAACTCTGGCATGATTCCCACACATAGGTTATACACACTCAATTATTTTATGTGCCACTAAGAAAAAATAAATATTGCAGGCAAACTATGATTCAGTGATTTTTTTTCATCACATTGATTTATCCTAAGTTATATATGTTAGAATCAGTGAAAATATGGACCATTAACCTTTTGGGTTCATAAGAAATAAGTAGGACAAAGTGTTGAGCAAGATGCCTGACGGTTATAAATACTCAATAAGTAGTAGCCATTATGTTGATGATAATGGTGATTTGGTAATGAGTACTTAGTGAAGTGGTGCTCATTGTTTAGGTTGTTCTTTGGGGATCAGAATCATTAATAGGTCATTTTGAATTTGAAGTAGCATAAAAATATATGTAACAATAATATAGCATCTTAAGTTGGTTTTTAGAGGTAATTCTTCTATTATTAGTACTTTTTTTGTGTGTGTGTGTATGTACCAATCTATCATTGGTCACTTTTTATTCATTTAACAAAATTTATTGCACATATCTGATGTGCTTTGATATTGTAAACTTTTTTTTTTATTGCTTACAGTATTACAAAGGGTATTACATATGTGTCCCCTTTTTTCCCCCGCCCTTGACAATCCCCTGGCCTCCCCTACCCCCCAGTGTCTTATGTCCATTGGTTATGCTTATTATTAGTACTTTGTTATCAATGAAATTTGTAGACTATTTTTGAAGTTGCCTTCAGGAATAACATCTATTAATATGTATCAACCTCCTGGGCTTAAGTCATTTTTTATAGAGAATTATGTTCAAGTACACAGCATGAAAAAGGTGTTCCTACATGTAAAGCTTAGTAAAATTTCATTGTTGATATTGTGATATGAGACCTCAGGTTGTAAATTATTTTTCTCATTTTCCTGTCTATACAGGAGGCAGACAGTGGGGAGGAGGAATGCCGGTCACAGCCCAGGAGGTATGTTTATTCACTATATCCTATAGGTTTTCTTTTTGTTGTTGTTTTTCTATTACAGTTTACATTTAATATTATCCTGTATTAGTTTTAGATGTATAGCATAGTAGTTAGACAATCATGTACTTTACAGAATGGCCCCCCCATATTTCAAGTACCTATCTGGCCCCATACATAGTTATTATTATACTGATTATATTTCCTATCCTGTAATTTACATCTCTGTGACTGTTCTGTAATTACCAATTTGTACTTCTTCATCTCTTCACCTTTTCACCCAGCCCCCCAACCCATCTCGCCTCTGTCAACTGTCAGTCTGTTCTCTGTACCTGTGAGTCTATTTCTATTTCATTTATTTAGTCCTTTAGATTTCACATATGGTATTTGTCTTTGCCTGATTTATTTCACATCTATGGCCATAACCTGTAGCATTTCTGTAATTAATGTTCTTTCTCTAATTTTTCTTCAGTCTTTTCATATTAGCTTATTCTGGTTTTCCAAAATGTTTAATTGGTCTCTCAAAATAGGATTGCTTTAACAATTCAGTTACTGACTCAGATTTAAAATGGTAGATTGTGTTATGTTGTACAATTGAGACTAATATAATTTTGTATGTTAATTATGCCTCATTAAAAAAATAAAATGATAGTTTGCTTTTTTTAAAAATGCAGAAAGGGCAATGTTGGTCTAGTTTTGGCCCAAGTCTTCAGAACTATCTTGAGTAATAAAAGAGCAAACTGTCCTTACCTTTTAAGAAAATATCAACTGAAGAACATTTTAGCCTTCAGCTTTATACCTATGTTTGTCATTCATTTTGATATTTTTCATTTCCTACAGACTAGTTAATATTTCACTTTCTAAATACAAAGGTTATACTGAATAACACCCCCAGTACTTTCAATACGATGACACTCGCTCACTTGGAATAGTGGGCATATTGTTATAAGGGTACCAGTAAAAGAAAAAAAATTATGCTGCCGTTAAAAGAAAAAAAAATATGAGACATCCAAGAAGTATATGATAACATTTATATTATTTCCTTTAAGTGTTTTTTTTTTTAAAGTTCAAATTTTTTTTTTTTTATATATATATTTTATTGATTTTTTACAGAGAAGAAGGGAGAGGGATAGAGAGTTAGAAACATCGATGAGAGAGATCGATCAGCTGCCTCCTGCACGCCCCCCACTGGGGACGTGCCCGAAACCAGGGTACATGCCCTTGACCGGAATCGAACCCGGGACCCCCGAGTCCGCAGGCCGACACTCTATCCACTGAGCCAAACCGGTTTGGCAAGTGTTTTTTAAAATCAACTCCCTCCCACAAGAAAGAGTCCTCGCAAATTCTACATGGTCATTTAAATGTTACCAAACTTATATCTTCTGAACTCAATCACATGAGCCATTCTGGATGAGACAGGGAAAGGGTACAATAAGCACAATAAGCATGCTCATTGTGGAGAAGCTGGCTAAAGGAAATGCTTCCTGAAAGATGAACTACCACGTGTTTGTTGATATATACCTCACTCTTATAAACTACAACCTAATATAAAAAGTTCCTTTTCCTTAGTAACTAAGGTTATTGGCAATATTTTTCCTGTCTTGGTTATCACAAAAATTTTGACTTAAAGCTTAACAGCTCTTAGGGAATATCTGATGGTGAAGTGTCTTTCTTTTACATAGGGTTAAAAGATAGAAACCAGAAGAAATTTTAGCTGAATGCTTACCAGAGGCATCATAATCTTATTTCCATTAGAATGAAAAAAAATTCAAAGGATTCTTAAACTTTCTAGTAGAACAAATTTAAAGATCTCTGGGTTGATATTAAACTTTACGTATTGGCTTGGTATCTACAGAGATAATTGTTGTTCCAAAAAATTACATAATGATGAAGCAGTGAAGTCTATTCTATTCACAGCACTGAATTGTCAAGCCATTAAGAACCACAAAGACTCCTGTTTAAAAAATTATTGCTAATAAATCATTAATATGACTAGCAGAGGGTATTTATAGGCTTCTTCTAGTCACAAGAAAAGGATTATGAGAAATAAATAAAAAGTTACTAACACCCATTATAAAAATCAAAATTTACTTTCCTGTTGTAATTTCTTGCATTGTGTGTTTCCCAGGTTATTTCTAACTCTAATTGCTTTAGTCTGACTTAAAGCAAAGAAACTTCTCATGAGTGTCAAATGAATGCCCCTTGTAGCTAGATGGTATGTAAGAGGTTGATTTTTGTACTAGTATACTTGGCTACTACTCTGCCATTCTCCATCACTTACCACAGAATAAACAAGCATTGAGTTAGCATCTCTTGATTGAGCATGCCTAAACTCATCTTGTCAATTTGTGGGTTCAGTTGTGGTTTGTAGTAGGGAATTGAAGGGTAAATAACATCATTAAACTAATGCCAGTTCCAGGTAATAAAGAAGATGTTGCATTAATGATCTCTTATTTTAACCAATGCCATTTATTGGAAAAGTCATAAGTTAGAAGTACTTTTAATATAATTAGACCTAATCATGATGCCTTTAAAAAACAATGAAAAGACAACCCAGAAAATAGGAGAAAAATACTTGAAAATCATACACAGGGCTAAAGTCCAGAATATATAAAGAACTCTTACAACTCAACAACAAAAGACCCAAACCTACCTTAGTCAGCTCGGGCTCTTATAACAAAATAACATAGACCTAGTGACTTAAACAACAGGCATTTATTTTTTTACTGTTCTGGAGGCTGGGAAGTCTAAAATCATTGTGTCGGCAGATTCAGTTCCTGGTGAGAGCCCTCTTCCTGGCTTGCAGACAGCTGTCTTCTTGATGTGTCCTCCCATGGCTGTGAGAGGGTGCTCTGGTCTCTTACTCTTTTTTCATGGCCACTAACCCTGTTATGGGGGCCCTACTTTCATGGCATCATTTAACCTTAATTACCTCTCAAAGGCCCCTCTGTCTTTAAATACCATCACATTGGGGGTTAGGGCTTCAATGTATGGAATTAGGGGCAGGGGCGGGGGGGACAAACATTCAGCCTATAACATTCTACCCCTGCCCCCCCATATATGTCCTTTTCACATACAAACTATATTGATTTCATCCCAACAGTCCCAAAAGTCTTAACTCATTCTAGCATCACTCTAAATCTCAGAGTCCAAAGTCTCATCCGATATGGGTGAGACTTGGGGAAAAATTCTTTTCCATCTATGAACCTGTGAAACCAGGTAAATTATGTACTTCAAAATACAATGGTATGACAGCCATAGAATAAACATTACCATTCCAAAAGGGATAAATAGGTAAAAAGAAAAGCTAACAGGCCCCAAGTAAGTCCAAAATTTAGAGAGGCAAATTCCATTAGATCTTAAGGCTCAAGAATAATCCTCTTTGGCTTGATACTTTGCCTTCTGGACCTACTGAGGCAGTGATTTTTTTCAGGAGCTACTGGAGTGGTGGTATCATCCCCATGGGGCAACCTTGCACCTTTGGCTCCCTTGAAGTGCTACCCATGCTGTGTTCTATAAGAGCTGACCCACATGACATTCTTCTGGGTGGTGGTACTGCCCTTTGAAACCAAAGTAGAGGCAACCTTGTCCCTTGAACTCCAGTCCTGTGGTGGGAGTAGCAGCCCTGATGATCTCTGAAATTGCCTTTGGGGTCCTTATTCCTTTTTCTTGAAGAGTAATGCATGTTCATACTTCCTTCATTTTGAATCATTTTCTTTATTTTCTTTAGTCTCAGCTGGCAGTATTTCTGCTGGTATAATCCCAATCCTGGCTTCTGTTTAGATGGCCAATTGGTTCACAGCCAAATTAATCTCCTTACAAATAGTTGGCTACCATACACTTCACGTTCACTTCAGAACATGCTCTATTGTTTTGCAATATGGACAAGCTGAAAATTTTCCAAATCTTTAAGTTCTTTTTTGCTTCACAATTCCTTCTTCAATTCATTTCTCTCTTCTTGAATTTTACTATAAGGATGAAGGAACTAGGCTGCTCCTTCAACACTTTGCTTAGAAATTTTCTGAGCTGACTATCCAGTTCCATCTCTCACAAACTATACTTTCCACAAAATATTAGAACACAAATACCACTCAGCTAAGTTCTTTGCTGCTTTATAACAAGGGTTGCCTTTCCTCCATGCCTGTAACATATTCTTCATTTCTGTATGAGACCTCATCAGAATGACTTTCACTGTCCATATTTCTGCCAACATTCTATTCATGATTATTATGTACTCTAAGAACTTGGAGGGCTTTTTCTCAAGCTCTCCTCTTTTCTTTCTGAGTTCTCATCAGAATTGCCTTTTAACACTCCCTTCATGGCAATCTCAGCCTTTTCTAGCACACATTTCAAAACTTTTCCAGCCTCTACCCCATTATCCAGTTCCAAAGCCCTTCCACATTCTCAGGTATTCATTATAGTAGCTCCTTACTTCTCAGTACCAAAATCTGTATTAGTCAGGGTACCCCAGAGAAACAGAATCAATAAGAAATATATAGGTAGATTTGTTTTAAGGAATTGGCTCACACATTATGGAAGCTGAGAAGTCTCAAGGTTTGCCGTTTGGAGACCCAGGAGAGCTGATGGTGAAACTTCCAGTCTAAGTCTGAAGTGAGGAGAAGACAAATGCCCTAGCTCAAAGATAGTCAGGCAGAGAGAGTGAATTCTTTCTTACCTACCCACATTGGAGAGGGTAATCTGTTTTACTCAGTCTACTGTTTCAAATATTAACCTTATCCAAAATCCCACTCAGAGACATAATGTTTAACCAAATATCTGGGCATCCTTAAGCCCAGCCAACCATAAAATTAACCATAACACAACCTCAATTTTAAAATGAGCAAAGAGCCCACCTGGTGTGGCTCAGGGTTGAGCGTACACCTATGAACCAGGAGGTCCCAGTTCGATTCCCAGTCAGGGGAATCGAACCCAGATTGCAGATTTGATCTCCAGTAGGGGATGTGCAGAAGGCAGCCGATCAATGATTCTCATCTATCTCTCCTTCTCCCTTCCTCTCTAAAATCAATAAAAATATTTTTTTTAAAATCGGCAAAGAACTTAAACAGACAAGTTCAAGTTTTTGCTTCAAATAAAGTAAACAAATGGCCAATAAGCATATGAAAAGGTATTTAACATCACTAATCATTAGGGAAATGCAAATAAAAACTACAGGATACCACCTCACATCATTAGGATGTCCACTACCAAAAAACAAACAAAATAATAAGTGTTGTTGAGGATGCGAAGAATTTAAACCCTTGTGCACTATTGATAGGAATGTGAAATGATTACAGAATGGTGAGTCTTCAGAAAATTAACAATAGAATTACCATA